GGGAGTGTATGTTCAGCCCATAACAATTATTTTCTGACAAGAGTGTGCTATCACTCTTAGCCCTGATTCTCTGTATGTAATGTCTTTTTTCCCCTAGCTGTGTTTAAGATTTTTCTCTTTATCATTTTTTAAAAGATTTATTTATTCATTTGAGAGAGAGAATGGGCACACCGAGGGGTAGAGGGAAAGGGAAAGAGAAACTCCAAACAGACTGCACTGAGCACAGAGCCTGAGGGAGGGCTCTATCCCACGACCTTAAGATCATGACCTGAACTGAAACCAAGAGTCAGACACTTAACCAACTCTGCCACCCAGGCACCCCTCTCTTTATCACTTTTTTTTTTTTTAACAATTTGGTTGGGATGTGTCTTGATATGGTTTTTCTATGTTTATCTATCTTTCTTGAGGTTTGTTGGGATTTTTAAATCTGATGCTTATACTTTTTATGAAAACTCATATATGCCAGCCCTTATATCTTCATATATTTTTCTGTTCCCTCACCACCCCCAACATTCTCCTCTCCTTCTGAGACTCAAATTTTACATACGATAAAGCATTTTATCTTGTTTCACAGGTCATTGCTGTCCTCTTCATTTCTTTAGTCCTGTTTCACTCCGTGCTTAGTTTTTGATAGTCTTTATTGTTTTGTCTTTACCTTCAAGTTTTCCTTTACTGTAACGAACCAGCCATTAATACCACCCAGTGTATTTTTTTCCAATTGTATTTTTCATTCTAGAAGTTGCATTTGGGTCTTTTTTACATCTTCCATTTCTTCTTTGCTTTCCACTAGTTTCTTGAACATATGGAGCATATTTCTAGAAATCTTAAAATCTTGGTTAATTCCATCATAGTTGTCATTTCTATATTTGCATCTATAGATTTTCCTCTTAACTAAATGTTATACTATCTTACTTCTTTGTATGCCTGATGAAGTTTTTTTGAATGCTAAACATTTTGAATTCTACATTATTGGTCCTGGGTTTTGTTGGATTCCTTTAAATCAACTGGGACTTTGTTCTGGCATGCCTTTAATTTACTTGAAAGCAGTATGATTCTTTCAAGGCTTGCTTTTTTTTTTAAGATTTTATTTTATTTATTTATTTATTTATTTATTGCGGGGGCGGGCAAAGGGAGAGGAAGAATCTCAAGCAGACTCTGTGCTCTGACAGGAGCCTCCATCTCATGACCCTGAAATCATGACCTGAGCCGAAATCCAGAGTCTGACACTCAACCAACTGGGCCACCCAGACACCCATCAAGGCTTGCTTTTTAGTGTTCTCAGAGTGGGTTCAAATTAGCTTTTCTCTTTGAGAAGGTGCTGAGTGGAAGAGAAGAATCAAGCCCAAGGACAGAGTAAATGAACAGGAATAGGACTCAGGAGACAGAAAAGAACAAGAGGAATGAGATAGATCAGGGGACAAAGACCAGAGACAAGCGGACCTGAGAAGTTGTATTACTGCAAAAGTCAGCAAATATTTATATTGGCATGGCGGGGGGGAGTTGTGTTTATTTATAAAACTGAGCTAGGTTCTGGGCTTAGATGATCATAAACAGGTTTCTCATTTACATTCAGAAGTCGAATGTGATGTGGGACATTCTCTTGGTGCATCCTTGGTCTCCACCCACTCAAAAGGAAGCGCTGAGCCTGCTCCTTTTGTTTACCAAAACTGCTGCTGCACATTTCCAAAATGCCCTCTAGGGGGCATTACTGTCTCCATTGAAAACCACTGGTTGGGATCTCAGATTTAAAATATGCCTCTCTTACTCTGCTCTTCCTTGGCCCCAGTTCCTGATCTTGCCACAACATTAGGGGAATCTCAAGAGCCCTTTTCTTTGTATAGTCTTCCTGGACGAAGAATTCATTCACTTCCGTGGCAGCAACTACTTCCCAATGCTCATGGTTCCCAACTCACATTTCCAACTCTCCCTTCCTATGTCTGCCTCTTCCTCTCTGTTCAAAGTCTGCGCATCCTTAAAGGCTCAGCTCAAGTGCTGCCCACTCCATGAAGGAATCTCCCTTCCTCTTGCCTTCGGAAATACTGCCTAAGACTTAGTCCTTAATTGTACAGAATTCCTCAAACTGTAGTCATGATTGGCACCTAAAAAGCTGGGAAATGGCTTTTTAAAACGTAGGTTCCAAGGCAACATCCTCAAAAAGATAATATTTCAAAAAGCCTGGTCAATTATCTTCATTTACAAACACCCAGTGTTTGTAATGTACCTTGTAATGTACATTTTAACAAGCGTTCAGAGGGATTTTGATATAAACTGAAAATTTAAGATCTGTTGCTTTGGTCATTTCATCCATATCCCAAGTGGTGTGTAAACCTTTCAATGTAGGAATCCTTTTTAATGTTTGGAAGCTAGCTCCATGCTGAGCACATAATAGGAGTTTTCAGTTTTCAGTGTCAGGCATTGAAGATTAGTGGGACCCAGGGGGTGTCTTGTTGACAGATTTTAGTTTTCTGCATAATCTGGATCAGCCATATTCTTTGATATGTACAAATGATTGTGTTTTCTGGGTCTTATATACAGTGCTTCAGTAAAATGCTATATCAGTGAAGCTTCAGGACAAGTGGCCTGGCTTTTCTTTTTAACCAGATTGCTGCCCATATTCCTATCCTATGAAGAAATTCTGGAGCAGCCACTGTCTGAGACACAAAGAATAATAAAACTGGTTCCTGTTTTCAAGGAACTTCAAGTCTAATAGATGACAGAGATAGGTAAACAAATAATTACGTAGTAATCAAAGCATGTAAAAGGTACAGAAATATTGGTGGAGTCAGGGAACTTAATATCTGAGTTGAGTTTAAAAGAATGAGTAAGAATTAATATTCAGCCAGGCAGGGAAGAGCACCCCAAGCAAGAGAACTGCCTTTGCAAAGGAAGGAGGGGTGGATTAATAGGGTTTATCAGGGAATGAAAGGTGAGTGCAAGAGTTTGGTGAAAGAGAATACTGGGAATGAAGCTTCCTCCCAGCCTTGGGTTTCCCCATGGGAGGATGGAGATGCTGATTGGGGTAGATTGGTGGGAATAGACCCTTGAAGCCATTCTTGTCCCCTTTTACTCAGAGGCAGACAGTTCTAGATGGCATGGCCCCAAGCCTCCCACTTTCTCAAGCACAGCAGCTTCTAAAGCCCCTGGGGCTATAAGTCTGGTCTCCACATTCACTGGAGAGCAGTGACTTTCAACGAGCTTTGATTGCAACCCCCAGAAAGAAATACATACTATGCTGTGACCTAGAACACACATACATAAATATAAAATTGAAACACAACTTCTACAAAATACTATCTCCATTGTTGCCTGTTGTTTCCTAGTCTATTCCATCAAAAAAAAAAAATTAAGGTTGGGTGGCACCCATACATTGATTTCACAGTCCAATGAGCCACAACTGGCACTTTGAGAAACACTATCCCGGAACTCATGTTCTAGTTTGGAAGTGTTGAGAAACAGCACAGGTCTGTGGCTAAGGGCTTGGACTCTGGGAGCAAATGGCCAGAATTCAAGTCCCTATTCACCTACTTATTATCTGTGTGGCCCTGAGCAAGTTACTTAACCTTTCAATACCTCAGTTTCCTTGTCTGCAAAATGGGATAAGAGTACCTACTGGGTAGGCTTGTTGTGAGGATTAAGTGATAGACATAGACATAGATATATACCCAGAAAATTGCCAGACATCTAGCAAGTGCTGCCTAAGTGTTAACGGCCATTACCTTCCTCCTCCTGCTGCTCATCATCATCATCAGTGATGCCTCCTGTTATCCTATCTTAAAATGAAGAAGCCAAATTGGTACCACTAGTGAGTTGGGGTGGGGGCAATACCAAAAGGTTTATTTATGAAGCTGTAAAAGCTACACAGTGTGTGGGGCAGGGTGGGAACCCTGCAGGCTGTGGCTCTGTCTGCAGGGGAGAAGAAGAAGGAGACTCCTTTCCCAGTCATGGTTTAGTGTTTTGGATAAGGTGACTGCTGGGTCTGAAAGGATCTCTCTGCATTCTACTAACACACATTTTATTTCCTCGCTCACTTCTGTAACCACCTAGAATCCCACACTCCCAAAGTGAGGAGAACTTCCTTCTTACTATGCATGTGGGGGACCATCAGAATGTCAATCCACAGAAGACAAGATGGAATTTCTTTCCTCATCAATTCAGTGAACTCAATCCAATAATGGACAACCCACAAAGGGGGTTTACAAAAGAAAGAAAGAAAAAGAAGAAAAGCAAAAGCAAACTTTTCAATTATGCCAAAGGCTAGCATGTTTAACCCACCTCACCCAGCACCTCTCAGATGCTCTGATAGTCCAACTAAGGAACAAAAGGGGCATCTGCCACCTAATGGGTAGAAACCAAATTCAAGAATATTCTTGAATCACTCAAGAATCTTGAATCACTCAATATTCTTGAATCACTACCATCACTCAAAGGACAAATTCAGGAAATAAAGAACGGGAGACCTGGAGTAAATATTTCATTGGTCATGATGATCAAAAGATAATGGTTAATACACACACACTCAGACCTCATCCCACCTGTTGCAGGGCGGAAGCAATACCTCCAGGCCCCCCACCCTCTCCCTGGGCTTCTCCTGCCATGCCCTGCAGCCACTGCCTCACCCAGGACTCCACCCTTCACTTGGTACTTCTCCTGCCCCATTTGCAGCTTCCCTCAACACGGTGCCTGGACGTTCACTGTGAAGAAAAGCCAAGGACTTGACCTGAGTCTGCGGTGGGTAGGGTTGCAATGTCCACGAGTCCTTCTCTACCTCCTTTCCCAAATTCTCTCCTTCTCTACCCTCTCCCACCCCATCATTGTTCCCCGGAAACAAATAGGATGGCTTCACTGGTCAATTCTTTACATATACAAACACCAAAAGCAGAGGAAACACCCCTGGCCACCCCCCTCCCCCCAAACCCCAGTGCTGGGAGAGCAGCCCATGGCGGACGAGGCTGCCTCGGGAACTGCGGAGCTGCTGGAGCTGTCCGGCTGTTCTGGAAACTTCTTTGGCCTCTGGGCTTTACCTGGAGGCCTCTTCCTTCAGCTCCTTGTTTTTCCGCACCTCCTCCGCGTGCTTGTCCTGAGAAGGAAGGGAGCGAAAAGGGGCGGTCACACGGGCTTCCCCGGGGATAAAAAGGGAAGCCAAGGGGCAAGAGAACCCAAAGTAAAGAATTGCTGCTGCAGGAAATGAAGAGAAAGGTCTGCAAAGATGCCCTGAGAAGGGGCAGAAGGTGGCAGGTGAGACTGGTAGGAGGCAGGTGAGCAAGCCGACTGGTGTGGCCCCAGGGAGTTCATTGACTGGGGCCAACCTCCCATGGGGGACCCACCTCACAGCGACCCCACAGCCCACCAGCTTCCCCCTCCTTCACCTGGCCATCCTGGGCTTGCACTGAGTGCATTGCTTGACTTAATGCAGGGAGCAGCTCAGTGTAGCTATGCCGGAGGAGCAGGTAGAACAGACAGGCCTCATTACAAATGTCCCCTGCACACACTTGCAACGTGACCGCTGCTTTCATTTCTGTCCATCCCCTCAGTGCAAGTTGTTTTCTTCAGCCCCTTGGTGAAAGATGAGGGCTCTTAAGTATAAATTGACTGAAGAATTTTTGGAAATGTCACCCAAATCCAAAAAGTGGACTCACTGACAACTGGTGTATGAGAACCCTCTTTGCTGGACAGTGTTAATCAAGCCAAAAGATGGGATCTGACTTCAAAGACCCATCAGCTGTGTGACCTCGACTAACTGCTTCATCAATCAGGCCTCCTCGGCTCCCTGGTTTTTAAAGAGAGGGCCCTAAACCGGAAGCTGTTTTTACCTCTAGAATTCTGTGATTTTAGTGTTCACCTCTAGGGCACATTATGGTCTGCCTTACATCCCTGTTCATTGTGCATCTGTCTGGGTCCTCACTTTCTTGGAGGCAGGGAGCACATCTTTTTCTTCTTTTTATTTCCCAGTTCCTCCTATGGCACTTTGCACATGGCAGGTGCTCCATAAATATTGTCTCTGCCAGACCCTGGCAATCATCCAGATAGTATCATATCCAGATATCAAAAGTCAGACTGGAGTAGGCCTACTGAGGCAGTCCAGGAGCCCAGGATATACCTTAAACTATGAATCCATCCCTGAGAAAGCCCTAGAACTTTCCATGGCCCTGGGGAGAGTGTGGGTAGTGGTGTATCTAGGGCAATGGTTCTAAACCTTGCTATGTATCAGCATGACCTAGGGAATTTGTTATACTCCTGGGTCCTCAGGCATGCCATGACAGTAGATCATTAGGGTCCCAAGGATCTGTAGTTTTAATCTTTACACCAGGTAAATCTGATGCGGATGGTCAGTGACCCATGCAGCTACCAACACAGAAAGCACTGGCTTGGAGCAGGGCAGAAGCCACACACCTGTCTCTTATTCCATCTCCCACATTCATCAGTGGCTGAGGGTCCAAAGGAGTCAATCAATCCCAAAGGAGTGATGCCCACTCAGATTCTGACTCTGACATCTTGCTTCTTTGAGTCTTACTCCACCTCCATAGCTATTACTCCGGGGGGGGGAGGGGCTTCTCAATCCCTTCCCCTTGGAATTGACCCCTACATGAGCTCTCTGGGCAGAACCCTAGATTTCCGGGCTCTCTTTCTTTGGTCTCCAATGGTCCCCTCTCTGGCAAAAGGCCAATAGGATGACTGTGGGCTAGTCCCCCTGAAACGGGTTGAAAGAGTCCCCTGGACTTACATAGCCAGAGAATTGTGTTCTGGTCCCAGCTGCACTGCTTAGTGGCTGTGTGACCCTGGCCAAGTTATTTGACCTTCTCTGACATGGTTTCCCCATTGATTAAATAGGGATAACACTGTTCTGCTTACCTCATGGATTTGTTGTGAGGATAGGAGTAGGAAGAAGTAAAAGTGTTTTTGCCATTTTTTAAATACCATATCGTGGCTCTAGCCCCAATTATTTCTTTTGGGTTTGGCCTGAGAGCCCATGCCCCCATTTTACGGCAATCCCAGATTTTTTTTCTCCTGCAAGAATTTGTTCCTAGCCATCCCTCGATAACTAGGGAAGGCTGAAATGAGACCCAGATCACTTCCCTCCCATCTGATACTTGGTGGAGGTCTTACTGCCCCTAGAAGGGTAGAGTGTGAGAGCGGAAGGGCTGCCACATGCTGGCTAGTTGCAGGGCCTATGCAACATTCAGATCCCCTGTAAAGAAACCAATCTTTCTAGTAGCTGTTGCCAAGGGCCTGAGACTCTAGGCGGATGGGCAGGAAGGAGTGGGGACCACGCTGCTCACCATGGGACGAGGCCACCGATCGGGTCCCGGGAGTCACCGCGCAGCAGGCGGCTCCTGGAAATAAAACACAGAGCTGGAGCTCTCCCAGGAGCTGCAGGAGAAACTGGGGCAGGCTTGAGACTCAGGAAATGAGGCCAACGTGTTCTCAGCAGAACGGGCTGTTATTCTGCTGACACGTGGGACCAATCCCAGTCTCTCACGTTTCTCTTATATAGGTGACACCATTTGGTTTATTGACAAAGGGCAGAATATTGGAAAGACCTGTGACTCACTCAGTCCATATCATAGGTTTGTAGAGAATCATGTTTCCTGCTCAATGGTCAACTCAGCTTCTCATGCCCTTGGCTTAGAGCCAAGAGCCCAAGTCATCACCGTTCATTAAATCGAATCAGTCCATTCAAGGATGAACCAGGAATGTACAACTACTTGTTCATCCTTACTCTTTTGCATTAGGCAGGCTTTCTCTAGAAGATAAGAGGTCTAATCTTCCTAAGACAATGAGAAATTTCAATTGTGTAGCTGCGCATTATATCCCTCAAGGAATTCTAAAGCTCAGCTCGTTTCTTGCCAATGACTTCCCAAAACATCCCTTGCAACTCTGTAAGGATCCAGCCTAACAGAAATACCCCCTTTCCTACCTGTGGCTGTTTGCTACCTGAAATAATATGTAAGTCCTTTATACTTGCCATGGAAGGAAGAGAGTGTTCCAGGAGTCTCTTCTTTCACCAAGAACACTTACCTTCTCTTGCAGTCGTTCCAACATGGCGGCAAGGTGGGCCTCCCGGTTCTCCTTATTGGATTCCATCTTCTGAGCCAGTTTTTCCTTAGCCATCTTGATGAAATTGTTGTTTTCCTCAATGGCTTTTTGGATCACCTCCCGCTCGTGTTCTCGTTTCTCTGCCAGGTGCTTTAGGAGCTCAGCTTCCTGGTACTAAGGCAGCACAAAGGGAAAAAGAGGCCCTTGAAAGTGAGCATGCCATGGTGTGTTTTCCATGGCATGGAGCTCTATGCCCAGAACGCAGCCTCCCTGAACCTGGTCCCTGGCCCATTGGCAGGAAGCAAGGACACTTTCTGGATTCCCCCACCATTCCCTCAGTTCTTTTTTTCTCGTTGCCTTCATTCATTCCCTCCTTCCTTCATTCATTCACAAATACTAGATGACTATATACCTGTACCATGTGCCAAGCACTATGCTAGCAACTTGGGAAAGAAAAAAGTCTCATAGAAGTAAGATATATATAACTCTAATCCAGACTAGCATGTGACATATGCCTTAAGAGGTAGAGAGGAAATGCTATAAGAATCCAAAGGAGAAGAAGATTATTTTCTGCTTCAAAGATGAAAGCTTACATAGAGATGGCACCAGATTTGGGCCATCAGAATCAATAGGAAGCACAGAGGGCACACAAAGTGTGGAAGTATACCATACCATGACCTTCTCCTTCCCCCAGTTAAGGAGCCCTTTCCTTGATTGTCTAGCCTTTCCATAAATCCTTAGTGTTTGTCAATGTCTTCCTCCTGTTAGTGTGCATACTAGGCCACCTCTTGGACATGGGTAATGCAATGCCTTATCCGATACCTCTAACCAAACTGTAAGCTCCTAGAGACCAGGGATCTTTACTTCCTTGTTTCCCTCAATGGTACCTCATTATCTGCCTTGAACATGGGAGGGGCTACCTAAATATTTGTAGGTTGGTGGTGACTTGACCTCAGCTCAGAGCCACCTCTTATCTTCTCCAACTCCCTCCTGTCATGCTGAGTTGGAAGAAAGAAAGGACAGCACGTACCTTCCTTCGCTCCTCAGCTGCTTCTAGTTTCTTCTGGATCTCTTCCAGTGATGGGTCTCGCCGCCTGGGTAGGGAGGCATTGAACTCAGGAACCCCATCAAAGGAGGGTGGCTTCAGGATGACTTCAAAGGACTGGCCCGAGGTACATTTGTTCAGCTCGATGACTTCCATGTCAGAAATTACACACCAGTTCAGGTCCACTGTGTCTGCTGCAGAGAGCAGGAAACAGGCTGCTCACCCCCTGTGGACTAGATTGGCACCCCAAAAGCATGCACACATGCAAACATATATGGGAAATCTGGGGTCCCCAAGGCAAATCAATGACCAGGGTTCTGGGTTGGTCCTGAACCTGGCACCTAATAGGGTCAACGGGCTCCAGTGGGGCTGAAGGAGTTGGTAGCCACAGCAAGGGCTCAGGCTCCAAGAGTAGAGGTCCCAGGATTCGTGGTTTCTAATAATGGCTGTAGCAAATACCTTTGCTTCTGCCACAAGGCTCCTCCCATACGTGAGCTCTTGCTCAAATTGTCCTGAGTGGTGGCCAACAGTGGTGCATTTGCCCACCACCCACCACCCATTCACTCCTCATCCCACTACCAATCTGATGGCTCAGCCTGTTGCCACCTCTCCCCTGCTCCCTCCTACCCTGCTCTCTTCTTTCTCTCCAGTCAGCACTGTCTTTCCGCTGGCTTTGATCTTTCCTCCTACACTGTCTCCCACACCAGCCTAGACAGAAAAAACAATCTCAGGTAACCCAAGCACTCTCATCTCTCATTTCCAGAACAAAACTCTCCCTTCCTTTTAATCCCTGGGAAATTAAGAGGTGACCTGTTCCCCGCCCCTCCCTGAGCAGAACGTGGCCATTCAGTGCTCCCTGCCAGTGTCCTGGGACCCTGTCACAGGTCCCAGTCAGCATAGCCCCCTCATTGGGTGACTGCAGGTGGAAGTCCTCTCTCTACCTCTGGACTCCCAGAGCATTCTCCACCATTCACAGAGGAGGCCTGTCAACCGTGGAATCTAGTGATTTCTACTGCATCTTGTCTTCTATTCTAGTGCTCTCCAAGGGAAGAATCTCTGTCTGCTTCACCTCTGTATCTTCCACAACATCCATTTGTTAAATGAATGAAGAAAAGCTAAGATCAAGATCGCTCAGCAGAGGGTCTGATTCAGATTTTCAACTGCTGTCTAGTCCCCCAGCTGCAGCCCCACACCAGGCTTCACATGGTGCTTAGACCCTCAGAATAAGCTGTGGTGATTTTACTGGCTCTAGGAAAGAGGAACATGATATGGGGAGGAGAGTTTCATGAAATTGGGACAGGAGTGTGGTATTCATGGATACAAGCCCAGGAACCCTCCACAAGTTCCTCTCCCAATGGTGGCCCTCACTTACCTTCATATTTATAGGATGATTTATTCAGGGGATCGGCCAGAAAACAGGAGCAGAACAAAGACACCAGTGGAAGCTCCTTCATCTTCTCTTTGTAGGCTGCAGAAACACCAACAGGACAACATGGTGACCCCCTACTAGACTCAGAAGTCAGCCTTTGTGAGAGTTTGGGTGCTTGAGCAGCGAGGGGTGACGAGGCTCCACAGAGGCACCTAAACCACCCAGACCCACCCCTTGGCTGAGGATCCAGCCCCTTTTGCCCTGAGCAGCCTGGTTTGGGATTCCTGTGTGTGATTAGATCCACTTCTGTCCATTTTATTAGAACCTGAGCCTTCCAGAGCACCCAGATGATCCCATCTTCTCCTCAGTACATTGTTTCCCTTCCTAGTACTGAATGCAAAGTGCCTTCAGGTAAAGACCACAAGCACTAGTGCCTTTGCCCCAGCCTCGCACCCTAGACCTCGTTCTCTATTTCTTCACACTTGCCAGAATATTTCATTTACTTTGCTCCACGATGCAGGAAATCCACACTCCTTTTTACTCAAAGCATTCAGCAGTGCTTCTCTGAAAGGTAAAGAGGCTCACCACCATCCCTCTAGTCTTGACACTCACTGAGTGGCAGGGTCAGGATGTGAGTTTTCTCTGACCTTCCGAGTGCAGTGGTCAAAGCCAGAGGTGCTGGTGTCCATGAGGGCTGGAGGAATACCCCCACCACCGTCTAGCCTCTTTGTGTCAGGGGAGGATTTGAAAACCAGGAAGTCACAGGTTAGAGCTGATACAGTGAAGTCCAGCCCACCTCTGCCCTGGCCCTGGCATGTGCTCCTGCCTGTACCCCCACCACTCTGGGGCCAGTGCCCCTTGTTTTAAGCTCCACTATGTTCAAGTCCTCTCTGTTCTCAACTAAACCCAGCACAGTGCTCAGGCACTCTCCTCCTTGTTTCCTTTTACAAATTGAAAACATAATTAAGTGTAAAACAATATATGTGCATTGTAAAAACTTTTTAAAAACACACACAGAGGAGTAAAAAGGAGGAAAAGCTCAATGGTGATCCCACCCATCATCTAGAGATAACTTCTTTTAACCCTTAGGTGTACTTCCTGTCAGTCTTTTATCCTTCTCTATGCTTATGTAAGTACATATATGTGTGCACAGAACTATTTTATGCTGTGGTGCCCCATCACATAAACAGTTTTTGTACATACCAGCGAGGGTCATGTTTTCTGGAATGTGGGGGCTGGATCCGGCTGAAAGTCACAAAGTCGGTCTGTCACCAGCTCAGGATGCTATCACAAATCTGAGAAAGAGAGTATTTTACCACTGACAGGTTATTCCCATAAGAAAGGTCTTTATACAACTGGGGAGGGAATCCCAGGAAGCACCTGGTCTGCTCCCACCTCCAGGAACTCTACACACCCACTCTCCCTTTCCCAAACATAGACCCCCTGTTCAACACCACCATAATCAAGTTCAGTTTCCATGCACAAATGATGGTTTCATAATTAGCTTTCTAGTCTCAAGCCCCCTGAGTATCAGACATGAATTTCCCAAAACTATATGTGTCAAGAGGTGTTCATTTGTCTCCCTGTGCAGCTTAATGGCTGGCCCAAAGCAAAGGTTAGGGTGAGAGACAAATCCTAAGTCAGAATCACTTGGGAGGCTTTCAAAAAATAACTCTGTGTCCTGAATTTCTCCCTATTCCCATCCCAGACCCCCCCTGCCCAGCCCGTTCTGATATGAGATCAGAGGGAATTGGACAAAGGATGTCAAAATACTACTCCAGATGGCCCCTCAGTCACTACCCACCAAGAACCTCTTGTCTTAAACACTCCTTGACCTCATTTAACATAACCTAGACTATGAGAGAGACAAACATTATTATAGAATAACGTCATCATAATGTGGTTGGTGCAGAGATGGAAATTACGCCACCAGCTTTCCTGGGTCTCGAGCTTGCAGGTGACTGATTGTGGGATTTCTCAGCCTCCATAACCGCATGAGCTAATCCATCAGAATAAATCTCTTTCTCGATGCATCCTGTTGGTTCTGTTTCTCTGGAGAATGCCAACTAATACAGTCACCCTCAGTGGTCACTGTGCCAGCAGAGGGTGGTGTGAGCCAACGGTTTTACTGCCTGCATCTCACAAAGCAAAGGGCTCTGAGACTGATGTAGAGCCTCTTTCCTTCCTTAATGAGGTGTCTTCCCTCTGGCAACCGGGGTCTGTATTAGCTGTGAATGGGCAGGGGAGCCAATGGGAGCAGGGGGCTCAGCTTTAGAATCAGACCAATGTGGAATCAAACTCAGACTTGATCTCACTTACTAGCTGTCACTCACAAGCCCAATTTGCTTTCTCCATCTTAATTCTGCACCAAGTTGCACAAATTCAATAAGAAAAGCATATGTACAGCATCCAGCAAAAAGGAGATACTTAATAAATGTGAGTTTCTTTTCCTCTGCCTCTTCCATCAGGGTAGCCACCACCCACACACCTGCTTCAGAGTCACTGCCCTGGTCCTCACCAGCTCTGCAATTAAGGACTGTAATCTCCATTTTTAGATGAGGAAACAGAGGCTCAGAGGGTTTATGTGGCTTACTCGGGGTCATGAGGTTAGAGAGTTATAAAAGCAGAGATTTAAAGCCAGGTCAACTGGCCTTAAAGTGCTCTCTTCCCTGAAGCGTCTTTGTGTTCTCTGGAGTCAGAGGCCCCTGCCATGCACCACCCTCCTCGTTGTGCAGCACAATGGGCCTCTTTCCTCAGAGTCAAGCTGATCCTGACAGTACCAGTGGGTCCCTGAACAGGGCCTGGATGTGACATCCCTGGTCACGAGGCTCCATTCCACACAATTTTGGCTCATAACCAGGCTGATTGATGAGGTGACTGGCTGGATGAGCAAGCCCTTGCCAGGAGAGGGAGTAGCATTAGACTTAACCTAGGTAATGGATCTAAAGCAGGGGGTCCAAGTAAGTGAAGTGAGGCAGAGAAGGACACTCTGAGGAAGAAGGGGGACTGAGCTGGACTTTTTCTGTAGGGGTAGGTACCTGGAATGAAGGACTGTGCCCCTCAGCCCGAGTTGGGCATGATAATTAAGGCCCACCACTCACGGAGCACAGATTACAACTCCTGTCCTATCCCTATTAATCTTCACGTGAGGCTGGGCTGACAGCCTCACTTTCAGATAAAGAACTTGGGGCTCAGAGAACTTAAGACTCTTAGCTAAGGTCACGCAGCTTCTTAATGGTAGAGCTGGTTCTTTGATCCAGGTCTTCTCACTTTTAAGTTCTTCCTTTGTGGCCAGGGGAGAGACTGGATGCTAGTTCCTCCATGGTTCTGGGGACTCAAGAAATGCCAGTCTGGCCTGTAGATATGGTTTAATTAAAGACATGAATAGGTGCTTTCTATACTTCTATGGAAGATACTGTGCTAGGAATTGTAGGAGCATAAGGAACCCGGTAGAGAACATAGGTCAGAGAGACTGAGAAGGAATACTAGCGCATGGAACAGGAGACACTCCAGAGATGGGCAGAGGTATGCCTGGCCAAGGGATTAGTAACTGAGAGCTCTCTGTTTCACAGGGCTGGAGTCTACATAATCAAAAATGTGTATTTATAGAGCATCTATTATATGTCAGATACTTTCATTTTCATTTTCATAACCTTATGATGTAAGGATTGTTGTCCCCATTTTATAGATGTGGAAATTGAGGCTCAGAGAGGGTAAGTGACATTTCCAGGGCCATCCAGTGTAGTGGATTGAATGTGTCCCCCAATAAGATATGTCCTCATGCTAACTCCTATAACTTGGGGATGTGACTTTATTTGGAAAGGGTCTCTGCAGATTTAATTAACTTAAGGACCTCAGGGTCATATCATTCTGTATTATCTGGGTGTCATCAAATATAACGACAAGAGTCCTTATAAGGGACACACAGAGAGGAGACAGACAGAGAGGAGAGGCCATCTGAAGAGGGAGGCAGAGATTGGACTGATGCAGACACAAGCCGAGGAGCACCTGGAGCCACCAGAAGCTGGAAGAGGCATGAAAATTTTCTCCCCTAAAGTCTTTGGGACACTGTGACCCTACTGACACCTTGATCTTGGACTTCTGGACACCAGAACTGGGAGAGAATTAATTTGTGTTGTTTTGAGCCACTAAGTGTGTGGTCATTTGTTACAGCAGCTGCAGGAAACTAATACATGCAGTAAGAGACGGAGCCAGGGTTCAAACTTGTGATTCTTCCACCTTATCTCAGCTACTAGTGCTTATACACAGTTGACTTGTTCCTTAAGGTAATTGACTTGTTCCTTGTACTTATGGGTACAATAAATCCTTATGCCATAGTCACATCATTTCTATTGCATTCAAGACCCAAAAGATGTTGCTGCCTGTGGGACATTCTGAGAAAAGATAGAAGGGGGCAGGAGGGAGGGCATAGACTCTTCAAGAAGGCCAAGCAGTGAAGAGGGGTCCTAAGCCATTGGGTGGTGGCTGCTAGAGCAGGGGGCCTGACTTTGCCCCTAATTAACATGGAGCATCAGAGTTGAATGGGGCCAATCATACCCACCTCCCCAGCACTCCCCAGCCTGGCTACATGAGGACTCCAGGTTGTCTGGTGGGTTAGACCCAGATTGGATGCACACCACTTGGAAGATCTAGTTATGCTAACCCATGGCCTGGAGGCCCTTTAGAACAGCTCTGAGGCCTCCGCTCCCCCCATCTTAGAGCACCAACAGCTCAGATCATTCTCCTGGGCATCTCCAGTCAATCTAAAGGCACACAAACCAGACTTAGTCTCTAGGCTTGGTCCCTACAAGCTTCTCACAACACTGTGAAATCTATTAAATGACTTGGTGGCTTGGGTTAGCTTGGGTTAGCTTGGGTTACATTGTCAGGCCACAGTAAAATACCTGCAATACAGTGGGGCCACCAAGCCTGTCCTGCATCTGCCAGAGAAGGGCATTAAGGGATGTTATTGCTCAAGGTCACAGAGGACAAAATGCCAGAAATTCAGGGAGGCAAGATGAAAATTAAGAGACAACAGAGGCCAGAGTAGACATGAGCCAGGCCCACTGGGGGAAATTCTATCCCCAAAACGTTACACATCAGAGCATCATAAAGCAAAACTCTGTGCTGAGACAAACCTCTGGCCCTCACAGAGGCTCTTTGCATGGTCTGTTATGGCAGAGGCCAGTCCCAGGCCTTGGCAGCACTAGGGAAGACCAGGACAATGACTATATCCAGCCATAGCAAAGACCGAAGTGGTCCCCAACTCAAGGTAGATGAGTTACACCCACTCAGCCAAGAGCCACAGAAGCAGAGCCCACAACAGTGGCTTCCTGACTCTTGCCCAGCACTCACTCCCCAGCACTTCTAATGGGGGTGCAGGCTGCTGGTCAAGAGGCAGGGCCTCTCTGGGCATCCCAGCCCCTGTGGCCATTATTGATCTCGCATAGCAGGTGGTGAGAGGACTCAAGTTTCAGATGGCAAAGGTCAGAGGGTGCTGGGCTTCTTAGGCAAATCAGATTCTGCAGGTGTCTCTATCACTGCCATGGCTTTGGAACTTGACGGTGTGTGGGCGTGCGGACTGGATTTATTGGGGAACAGAGAAGGCCCACTGGGCTGCATGCAGGACTCACTGGGACCAATTGGTAGAATAGCAAGAGGAAGATGAGGGACCTGCAGACTAGGGAAAGCATTTGTACTTTATATTCTATTCAGTAGGAAGGCACTGACATCTTTGGACTAAGAGGGGAGAGGGGAAATGGGGATGCTGATGATAATAGCAAAAAGAATAGCTACCACATCTTGAACACCTGCTTGGTACCAGAAAGTTCACAAGCATTATTTCAATTATTTCTCTGAGGTTATTTGTAAGAGGGAACTCGAAGCTCAGCAGAGAGAGGTTAATGACACAAAAGCCTACAGGTAGTAAGAGCAGAGCTGGGATGTTCATTAGCTGCTACTCAGGCAAAAAGATCCTTCTGGCAGCAACAGCTTGGGGAAAAGATTAGGAGAGGAAGTTTGGAAGCCAGGACTAGGCACAAAGCGATGAGGACCCCCCTAGAACAAGTAACAGCCTCAACTGTTTGCATCCCACCCAATACTGTTTCTCTGTTTGCAAACCGATCTATACATTTACTCCAGCTCCAGCACCTAAGAGTCTATGTATAGAAAAGCAAGTGATCACACATTTTTGTTGATAGATTGAACCATTAACCTAATTGGTAGAAATAATTAGTTAGCAATAACCCAACCAGGAAGAGACCCAGGCCATAAAGAGACAAGACACAGAATGAGT